CACCCTCAATAAAGAATATTAAAAAAAATAATCTTAAATTAACATTCAAATAGAATTCTTCTTTCGAATATCAAAATTAACAACAAATCCAGGAAATGCATGATCTAGATATTTAGTTTTTGTCTTTCTTTCGAACCAATATAGGGTTCGAAATGTATCTTGATTCCAATAAGATAGATGATATTCTGGAGAACCATAACCTTTAGTAAACCGAATTAGTAACCTGAACTTGAGAACATTTTTGCATATGTTTTCTAAGAGATATTGCCAATGTCTACCGGCTTCTTGTACTGGATAGTCTTCTTGTATGATGCTCAAATATTTTATGTGGGGTACTAATTTTAAGATTGATTCTATTTGTTGATAAGTAATATCTTTATACAAATCAAGTTCCATCTTTATACAATTGTTTAAAATGAATGGCTTTGTAGTCATTAGAGGTAATGGGTAATCACAGAATAAGCCTAATGTCAAAAATTGTGTTTGTCCGAATAATGGAAGTATTGTAATACGACTTTTATTTGATAGATAACGTATAATTAGCCGCTCGATACAGTTAGGTTGAACCACTGTTTTAGAGTTTGTATTTACCATTTCATCAGAATCAGATATTGTGTTGTATCTGTCAAATTTAATAGTTAAATGAGTTAATGTGGACGTTAAGTTCGATTGATTGTAACATAGACTTTTCCATTGTGCTTCGAAATTTGAAGCATTATTATAGACAAAACTGAATGATTTCAGTGTGGTCATACATAAAACATCGTGAAATAATGTAAGTTTAACCGGACAGAGGAATTTAAGAGTATGTAATTGAGTAAAATTATAAATTGGATAGATTTCATGAAACTGTTCTAATAATCTAGAATTTGCCAATGTTAATGATTTTACTTGTGAAAATGAATTTATTGATTGTAAGAATATTTCTGTGCACCATTCATAGTCAAAGTCATTATATAATGCCACATGAAGATTGTTCTCATTAACTATGAGACTATCGATTCGTTTATTGAGTTTGAAAAATGTATAAAAGATATTATATGTATTAAAATATTGAAATATACTCAGCCATAATTCATTTGGCAAAATTTCATACGTGGTACAGTCTACATTAGTCATATGTTCGGTTACACGAAATGAAAACGTTTCTATTTTCATTGCAATTAAATAAGAAGATAAAAGGTGAGATATATTATAGATAAAAGCCTTTCTTCTCAACACTCTTTACAATGCGAATGCAAATGAATGATTAATTCGGTTTATTTAGTGAAAATTTGAAGATATGAATAGGCGTGTGAGCAAATGAAACTCAATAAATATTTATTAAAGATGGCGCTAGAAATAATAATACTCATTCGTTCAAATGCCAACCTATATCGGAAAAATAAAACTTTCATATTACTCATATGTTATAAAATATTATTTTCAGGATATAATAACAAAAACTGATGAAATAAATTCGATTGTTTAAAAAGTAAAAGAAAATTCTTCGTTGACATCAAATATTTAAAACTCTATTAAAATCATTTGGTAATAGTTGAGGAAATTTGGTTCGTCCATGCCTGTTAAATATATTTGATGGATAATCAATTGAATTAATCAATGAAAAACACGTGAAGATTTTATCAGATGTAAAAATATTTTTCCTCGTTTATGAAAACATTCTTTTACCAAGAGTAATAGACGTTTTTTTTCGTTCTTTCTTTTATATATCATATGACTTATTCTTTATTTAAAAGACTTTTTTATTTATCAATAATTTACAATTGTTTAGATCAATTTGAATTCTCAACGACCAAAAATCCAGTGGATGTATACAGTAAATAGATATAAATAAAATACTTTTTTTTGATAAAATATATTTTCATTTTAAAGGAAAGTTGTTCAAATAGTTTTTGTATATGTGCATTTTGTCATGAAGAAATTCCAAAATCAAATATGAGTTATCATTTATATCATTGTGGAAGTAAAACAAATCAATGTCCCAATTGTCAAAAATATGTTCAACGAGCTGTATATAATTATCATCTAGAAAATAATTGTATTAATATAGACGAAGATGATTATCAGATTAAACCAAATACACGTAAGAACTTTATTAAATCTTTCTTTTGTTTTCCGAAGTTATTTCTTCATAGGAATTGACGAACAAATTCAAGATGATGAATCAATTCCATGTGAATTTTGCCATAAACAGATCAAATTTACTCATTATGATCATCATCTAGTAAGAAGAAAATTAAGATTAATTATTTTATTATTGTTTTTTTCAAATTTTTAGAAAGTTTGTTCTGGAAGACAACGAAGTTTCGATTTTGAAAGGTGAATTTTTTATTTTTTTAATCTACAAAAATTCATCTGTAAACATTTGTAGATCAATACGAGATTACAGTACAGATCGCCAAGTAAGTTACATACAGCAAATATTTTGTGACAATAGAAGAATCTAATATAATATAAATTCTTATTTTCCATAGGAAGCAACATCAACATCGACCGCCTCTAACAGATTTGATACCGACAGATCATTACCAGATGTTGTTAACACATCGATGCACAATCTTAATTTAAATGAAAAGAAAACTTTGAAACCAGAAAAGGCTACTGCACTTTTTTATACAAGAACTTCAAGTATTCGAACTAGTTTAAGTAGAGATTATTTTCCAAATGAAGTTGATCATGTTGTGGATAATCTTCAATTTAATATAATTCTTATTGGTTCACCACGTGTTGGAAAAAGTCAATTAATTAATGCAATATGTGGTGAAGAAAATCTTGCTGAAACAAGTCCTGGTCTTAATTCATGTACAAAAGAAATAAAATGTTATACATTAAAAGATAATCAAAATCGAACACCAGGAATAAAACCATTTCAAATTAATTTTTATGATACACCTGGAATTGAATCATGGACTAATCAAACTGGACAAGAAACAATGAAAAAATTTATTGAAGAAAAAAATCCTATTTGTGTTATTTATTGTGCTTCACCCGGATCGTTTGCTGATTTAACACAACTTCAACCAATATTACAATTATGTAAAGATAAACAAATCTTTTGTGCACTTGTTTGTACAAATATGTGGGCAAATGTAGGTCGTGATATTGTTATTGAAGAGTTTAAAAAACAATTAACATTTTTTGGTCAAAAAGAGGAGAAATTCTTTGATCAAGGTAATAATCGTTCACCACATCAAGTCACATTATTTGGTAATGGAGCTTTATGTACAATGATTAATTCAATTGAATATTATGATCCTGATTTATCGCCAATAAAAAAACCAATTCAAGGTGTTGATGAATTAATTCATTGTATTATGGAAGAACTTGATCAAGAAAAATTACTCGGTTGGTGTAATGCAGTTCTTTATCGACGAACATTTTGGGAGAAAATTTTTCAAAAAACTGGTGGATTTTTTTCAAGACATTTTGCATACATTCAAGAATCATTCAATCCAAATAATCCTCAAAATATATTTGAAATTATTAAACAACTATTCAATAAAAATCAATCACAAAATCGATAAGACACAAATTCCATTTTCTTTTATTTAAATTTTAATGATATTAGTTTTTTTTGAAAAAAATAATAATTATTGTTTAACAATTTTGATTTTAACACAATCATAACTACATCTACAGTTTCATGATGATAATGTTTAATTGTGCATGGAAAATAACGCCCTTTGCATTATATCGTCATCGATTGTGTCTATATGCTGTTCGTCTTGCAATAATATGTGACCTGAATCTGACCAATTTTCTAAATAGAAGTATGAATATGTTCTTCTCTATATAATTAATACTATATGAAATAGTTTTTACCTGGTGGTTTGCTGATAAAATCGACTTTAATTTCGATAAAAATTGTATCATCTTGTATGTATTGATCTTGTTTTTGTTGAAATTCTTCAAGAGAAATAAGTTTTTCAATACCATAACCTTCGTTCATTTGTAATCGGGGTCGTTGAAAAGAGATAGAATTTATATCAGGCCAAAAGAAATTAACAAAATGATGTTGATTGTCTTTGTTAATTAAAGAAAACTTCACTTTGTAAGGAAATGGCCATTCAAGAATAGCATCGTATTCATTAGGCATTAAGATGAAATATATTGACATGTGTGTATTTCGAGCGTCGTTAATTCCATTTAGAAATAATCTTGAACAGATTTTATAGCCAGTCTTTGATGAATAAAACTCAGGTGAATATATTGATCGTTGCCGTTCAGATCGAGCATCATCTAAAAATTTAATAGTGAAAAAAAAATTCTTTTTTAAATGAACATACATAGTTTTGCACGAAGATCAGTTATTTTCCATTTTAATCTACCATCGAAAGATATAATTTGTTTATCATCTAACTGTTGTTCTATAGAGAGAATTTCTCGAGGCAAAGCATTTTGAATAGTTATGAATCTATTCAGATCAGTTTCAAGATTTTGAATCAATATCTTCAGCACCGAGAATTCATGGTTATGACGTTGAAGTGCTTGTTGTCGAAGATCACGTTCGCCTGTGATTTGTTGCATTCTATTGCTTAGTATTACGGCATCATTTGATACGATAGCGAGTGCTTTGAAAAATTCCATTATATGCCGTAGATCACAATTTCCTCGTGTTAATTTTAAACGACGGAGAATATTTAACAATAATAATTGATGTGTTGAAGTTAAATAATGTTCTTCACTTTTGCTCCCATCAACCTAAAACAGATCATCGTAAAAAGATCATTGATTAATGATAGTTTACTTGTTGATAACAAAATAAGCAAATAAAAAATCTGCTAGAATGTTTTCGCTGGAGATGTTCCTGTACATTAAATTAGAACTATGATTAATTATATAAACAAAAGTGATGGATTTTCTTTACTTGGTATATTTTCAATGGTCCATTCCACTGACAAAACGTGCAATGTACTGACAAGCATTCCAGTTGATCTTCAAAAGCTTTATCAAAAGAAATCTAACAAGAAAATGAGGGAGAAAATGTCGGTACACATTCATCTACAAAACATACTTCATTGATGGTGAACACTCCAGAACACGAGAAACAATGAATAGTACTACTAAACTCAGAAGAAAATGTAGTTTAGAATTTGAATATAAAAAAAGAAAGAATATTTACTGATTTTGTGCTTCTATACATGATTGACATTGTCGATGTCCACAACGAAGTTGAAAAGGTTGTCGAAGAACTAAGTGACATGATTGACAAATAAATTGTTGATCAATATCGCCAATATTTTTGACAACAAGGTTATATTTCAATGGAACTTGAAGATCCGTAGTTGTTGTGCTACTAGTGAGACTTAATTGAGATTGAGAAATTTGATCAGCATTGACATTGGTCAACTTTTTCTTTTCGTTATGTGTACAATACAATCGTATGTCTTTGTATTTAAATTGATAGTACTCTTCATCTAATGGGAAATCATCGTCTTTATTATTATATATCCCGACGTTAAATGGCAGTAATCGGTAATCACGAATTTTAAAAAACTCGTCAAGGCGGTCACCAGAAGTATGAGCATCAAGACGACCCTCCGAAAGATAGAGAGCGATATATACGATGGTGAATAAGTAGGCATCCGCATCATCCTTACTAATAAACAACCAAAAGCTTTGCTTTAAAATACCATGATTTGAATAAAAATGCACCAATAATGAAAGTATGAATACCATGATCCATGAAATTTGTATGATACTGTAGAAAGAATCGAACCAGTACCATATAATCGCAAGTGGATCATAGTTTGCAGTAAATGCGAAAATAAACTGTAATTCGATTTTGATAACCAATGCTGAATAAAGGACCGGTACATACGAACGGCCTAATAACTCCGACATCTGAAACAGATACTGAAGGAGGACAAAACTAAACAATAAATTACATATAGAGAAAAATCGATTGACAAAATTTTCATTAACTGCAAATTCTGACTTTATTAGAAAATATGCAGCAATTTTGCAAAACTAATAATATACATACCTTAGTTTTTAGATGACTTATAGTTTTTTGCTACGAGCTATCGTGTGACACGCAATGCAACAAAGAAAAAAACGACGCAATTTTTCTCGATGCGTCATATATTTTTTATATAAAGAGAAAAAAAGGAAGAAAAAATATTTTCACTACATTAAAAATGACGATCAAATGTCTCTTGACAAAGGAAAGGAAAAAGATCTGCGTGAATATGTTTACTGTAAGACATTTACGTTGTACATTTGCAGTAACATGTACGTAGGTTCTCATTTGCAAATATGAAGATATATAGAAATTTAAATTGAAGTTCTATTTTTTCCATTCTTGTTTAAACTAACGGCAATGTATAGAGCTCGTTCTACATACATCTACTTAATTTTATTCTGTTTTAGTGTAATTTATAGAGTTCACTAGATTACAATAAGAAATTATTAATTGTTCGCATCAAGAATAGTTACTACATGTGGTGATTTTTATACACGAGATTTTTTCATTTTACGAATAAAATAAATCTATTCATTGTACAAATGACATCTTCAATTTGAAGTTGATTATCAAAGTTTTATTGATTTTAATCGTAATCATCTACCACAAGATATTGTTGTTCGTGTGTCGAACTCATTTATAGAATGCACAAATGTACCGAGTGTCAATTCCGGTAAGTGTATTTAAATATATAATAATTTGGGAAAAAAACGTTTTTCTCATAGTGAAATTTAGTCCTAAAGCTGCCGATGATGGTTCCAGTGTTATGATTTTTGCTGAACTTTTATCAAATTTGATTAATAATGTAAAAGTTACTTTTCATAATGTTCATCTTATTGTTCTAATTATCAGTTATATCTGACCTTATGATATTCATCGTTCTGTTAATACCAATGATTTAAGTTTTATTCTAAACACAGACAAAAACGCAGATAGCATCAACTATATTAGTGCTGTATTTATATCAATATAAAATTCTTATTATTTATTAGTGTTCGTTGACCCTCGAATCATATCGATCCTAAAAAGGACAACTGAGCTATAAGAATATAGATACTAGTAGCTGGAAGAATACAATGTAAAAATAAAAATAGAAGAATGAAAAAGAAAGAACAAAATTAGATAGATTGCAGAAGGAGAACATCACGAAGGACGATCGAGACATAATTCTTTTTCCTTTCTCCTACTCATTAATCTCCTCTTTTTTTTGATAGTGTGATCTGTGAACAACCACTGCGAGAACCAATTAACCAGAAACTTTCAGAAACTAGCACAAAAACATGACAGTTTTCCTTGGTTGGATACAGATACCGAATTCAAAGTTCGATGTAAGATGCAAATCTTTCTGATTTGTAAAGATAGCGAGTTTATTCTGCCATCTTCATCCAATCCGAAAATGAAATATAAGTAAAAAGCTAATCATTTATCTACATCCAAATTCAACAGTGGTATTTTTATTATTCAGTCGTCTTTTTTTACCATTACATAGAGCTTATGTTAACGAGTTTCATTTCATTTTTAGAATTTAATTGTGTGACAGACGTATCACTTATGGGATAGAGACACTAAAAATCAGATATTGACTCGTGATTGCGTTAGAGAAATGTATTAACTAATGGCACATTATGCATATCATTTGTTGTAAATATGCAAATGTGAGTCAACAACTAGAAAATTACATCGATCAGACAGGAACAAATGAGTTTGCTCATATTTTATCATGCATTTTTAATAAAAACAACAGTTTTAATGTTTTTATAAGAGAAAAGAATGAAGAGGAGGAGAAAAATAGTGACGAAGATATTCTTTATTTTATAAAATAGAAAACGTTTGATACATAACATCTATTTTATTTCATTTTCTTAGAACTAACTATTGATACACGTCTAAATAGTCTTTATCATATAGCCTAAGTAAGTAAGAATTATCATGATAGATTACAACACAATTGTTTGTGTTCCTATTGAATAAGCGCTTGTTAGTCATAAGATAAGATTTTATTGTATGACTGAGTCGTCATGACAATTTAATATGGAAAATAATGATTTATTTTCCATTGTTGAACGTTATTACTTCTACTTAAATCAATTATTAACATTAAATGCTGTATTGACATGAAAAAAAAAGTTTTCTATAATTGTGCATTGGTTAGATTTGATCTTGTGTATCAATTCGATTTTGATTGTTGTCATTCATGATTTGGATGGGTAGATGAATTGATCTTTATTTCTTTATCTTTTCTTTTTAAAATAAAGACGAAGTAATTCCGTATAATAACTCGCTTTTGTTTACTTTTAGTTTCTTATGGAAGATATTCTACATAACAACCAAGTGGAGAGTGAGCGTGTCAATGAAAATAATAGAAGACAGAAATGGTGGCATCGTCGTTTCATTAAGATCGTTTGTATCTCTCTCACCATTTTAATCATTTGTATAGTCATTCTCTCACTAACGTTAAAATTTATCATTCTTAAACCGAAGAAATCGGAAATGATTACCACCACTACAACTTCGACATCAACATCAACGTCAAGATTAGGTACGTGTCTTTGAATCTAGGTTGAAAATATATTTTCTTTTATAGGTAATAATTTATTATTGAATCCAGGTGGAAGAGATGGTGTACTCAGGCCTTGGGTCGTGGGTGGTAACTCGAATCCAAGGTTAGATAATGGCACATTTGATCCGGGTTACTTACCTCGCACTGGACTATTTCAATTTGCTGGTGGCACTGGTTCGTTCGGCACGCTTACACAGACCGTTGCCATTGTGGATGCAGATCGATTGATTACAACATCGAAGATCGATGGTGGTTATGCTGCCGTCAATTTGAGTTTTTGGTCTCGCGGCGCTGCATACACAACATACGATGGTGCCGCAGTCGCCTTGTACTTTCTCAATGACTTCAATGGTACTTTGAGTAATGCTACCTCTCCCGAGCAGGCAGCTAGTTCTAGATGGATCTTATACGCAAACTCATACCCTATTCCTATCGGAACAAGATCAATCCAATATCAAATGAGATTCATTCGACACGATGGAGCTGATATAGACTCGTATATCGATGACAACATTATGACTGTCTATTAACACATTTACTTCTCCTCGAATAATTAACTAAACCCGCTACTTGTATTTTAACGCCCCACTAAATAAAGTACAGAATATTTTAAAACTATCTCTTCAATAAAAGTTGCTTCATATATAGTCAAGCTACAGTTTCTTCATACAAACTCAAAACAACGTGTGCAGAGTGTTGTATGATGATTTGAGTAAAGATTTCATGAGGAAAGTCTGTATGTTCTGATAAGATCTAATATGGATTCATTATATTATTTGTTCACTCTGTGCTCTATTGACTTCAGAATGATTGTTCAAAAAACTGAAGGCTTTTAACAACTATTTGTGAAGATCGAAAGAAGATTAGAGTAGACATTTGAAGAAGTTTTTTTATCGATACTGAATAGAAATATGTGGCCAAAACTTGAGAGTAGGGGTGGGTGCTCTATTTCATTCATGTCTAACCACATCTATACTCTCAGTTACAATCACTCACTCAAATTCAAGAAATTCACCGATCAATTTAACCCATTGGACATCTTTAAAACGAATTTTACATAAATATATTAAATAATCGATTCTTGTTACTGATAAATTGATTTATTTAATTTGATATTTTATTTTGTAAGTACGATGAAAAAGTACACATTATCGTCAATTAAGACCAAAAATAAGAATTTAATTCTGTAGAATTATAATATAATCGATTGAAGCATTTAAATTTAGTTAGAGATGATACGTAGCGCAAAAAGAATAATAAATATGGAAAGAGAAAGAAATGAAACACAGTTTTTTGATGAAGTAGCAGTAAAGTTAATAACTGTCTTTGAAGAATCAATTATTCCTTGACTATTGCATAAATCCGTATAGCAACAAGTAATATTCATAACCATTCGACTTGAAGCTAACTCTTGGCATGTGTTAATACTTGTTAATGCATAACCCCATATGATGCTTTGATTTTGCAGTTGTTGAGCGGTACATAAGGTATTATTAGTATTTAAACATTGAAACATGAAACTAAGACAGAGACATACTTGATGAATGCATACATTTGGTGTATTAGATGAGTCTTGTATACCTATTACGGTCCTATTGTTGATATCGGATACATATCCATAACATCTCAGCGAGATTACATTTTGAATAGTAATGACAAAAATAGCGACATAGATGAGTAAAAACATGTTTAGTAATCTATTGTATAAAATATTCACAAAACTATGAAGTATATTATCAATAATACATACCTTTTAGTTGAGTACTACAGTACTCAAAAATATCATTCACGTACAGAAATAAATGTCTGCTTAGAAATACTTCTATGACACCGATTATTATCTAAAAAAGAGTCGTCTCACAACGGTGACATGAAAGATTTCTCTGAAAAAAGTGATGATTGAAGTTCAATACGAGAAGTAACGAAATATACGTCAAGAGAGAATTTTAATGTGTCAAACGAATATTTTAGTCACTGTTTTAATCCAAGGATATGCACACATTTTGAGAGAGAAAGATATATACTCGTTCAGTTGTAAGACATACTCACTGGGTGGCACAACAGACAGAACAGGAAAAAAAGAAACAGTCATTAGTTTTAAACATTTTTTTCTCATTGATTACATGAAAAGAAATGCGACCTCCAATGACCTTCCTATGGCCTCGAACTCAATAAAAAAAATGACGATATTCAAATATAATAATCATATATGCTAATGGAATAAGTTGTTCATTTTTTGTAATATTTTTAATTACAAATGATGGTGTTACGAGCTCATGATTTACATTAATAGTATAGCCAATATTTTTATGTAGAAATAATAAAAAGAAGTCCTTCGTCGATAAGATATGACAAGTGAATCTCTTAGCTATTAAATGAAAAACGACAGAATGAAATTAGTTTTCTATTTTAATCTTAACAGATTCATCGATGATATTCTGATGGCATGAAATAAATCAGAAAAAATATTCAGTCAATTATTGAATTCGATTAGAAATGAGCATTATGTTGTACCATTTATGTCTGATCATCGTCGATATACGCTCGAAAATGTGATAGAAACGATTCTTTTACGAGTCATAAGATATTCATCTATATTTCATAACGTTTCTTTTTCTTTAGTTTTTTACTACACAAAAGTATAACACGAGAAAGAACATATGAAAATATGTCTAGTATATATTAAGATAAAGTTGTACAATACTGTTCTGTGATAATAAGACGTAATAAAAGGCGAGAAATGAGATAGAGTTTTTCATTTTCTTCCAATCTCCTGGTTGTGACTTTCTCATGTAGTTGTATGAAAGTGCTTTTCAAGCATATTTGAGTTGTTTGTGAACTGTAATGGCGTTAGTTTCTCGGTCACAATGTCTTAATATACTTTCAACTTGCCCTAAATGTGCAGTAGTACAACTTTTATGTATTCTGTGTTTGCATCCAATATTAGAAAATGAAGTGAATAATCTATTTCATGCTCGAAATGATATTCGCCAGTTGACTATGAAGATTCGGCAAGTATACAAACGTCGTGAGGCTCATTTTCCATACATAGTCAGTTGTTTAGATTTTCAAACACAAAGCAAAGTATACAGTATGGTATGGATCACTGGGGAACTATATTCATCGAAAGAATCCTGTAAACTAATGAAAAATAATTCTATACTAGGAGCTCAAAAAGCTCATGAAAATCAAAAGAAATTAAACCATTTGCAGTTATTATTATTCAAATATCAAGAACTTACATTGAAAAGCAAACTTCATACATAAAATCGTTCATGTCCTTTGTACGAACAGTATAAATCGAAATTTTTAATTCAAAACTAATCAAGACAATTCTTTTTTTGAATTAAGTCATTCTAACTAGACAATCCAACTCAATTTTCCTCGCACATGTTCTTGAAATCGAATTATTGATCGCGATTTTCTTAGAAATAGAATATTTGTAATAAACTTGAAGTGTTTTTATTACTTATATACATTACTTAATTTAATTTTGAGACAATAGAAATTCTTACGTATTTCTAGTCGTAAAATTAATAAACAAAAATATTAGGTGACTGCTTGTTATATTCTGAGTTTAAAATACATTATATAATTATTTATATAAATTTTAAATGATTTTCTATCGGCATAATTTTAAAATTAAGAAAATCATTGATCTTTATTTATTTTATTTTTATTAATTTCAATAATAAACGAACCGTAAGTATTGTTTCATTAAAATAAATTTTTCATCATTATTTACTAAAAATGTCAAGAAAAAAATCGTATCTCTTCTAGCTCAGAATATTTGAGAAAAGATTTCTGTAGATATGCTTATACGAATATATGAAACTTAGATAAACCTCTATCACTGTTGAAAAAAATTAGTTAAATTGACTTTTAGCTCATTCTATATCAACATTCATATTAATTTAACTGTACAAAAAAATATTTCATCGACAATAACAAAATCTAAGAATGGATCTTTTTTCTATGAATTTTTCAATACAAAATATAAATCAAACCTATATTGAAAATCTTCATAAAACGATAAAATGCATCGAATCGAAATCAAAATAAGTCGTAATACAAAAAAAAATATAAAAATGTCATATTGACATCATAATATTACCAATAATAAAAAAACACGTGCTTCATGCAAGTATAAATAGTGTATAATTGATTATATTCATATCTATGTATATTGATAGAATAGAGAAACGACAGTACAAAAAAAAATACATTACTTTAGTTTTGTCAAAAATTTACAGTACAATTATCTGTTCAGAATTATAATATCTTTTATGATAAAATTTGAACATTCCTATATCTTTCTCTTCATATGTAATTATATGTATCGATCAATGATTATTTATTCATTTCATTGTACTTTTTATTATAAATACGAAAGAATCTAATTCTTATTTGTTTAATTTACAATGTAAGTTTCACACATAATAGATATTCATATAAAAAGTTTCGATTAATTTGTCTTTATAACAATCTAAAAGATCAAATTGCGTAAAAAATTGAAATAGTACATTTATTGTTTTTATTTTTTCCCATATGGCGACGTTTGCTCCTCTTTCTATTCTCTTATCACTCATGCAGAAACACATGGTGTATTTTTTTCTTCTTTTGCTTGGCGATTTTAAAATTTATATTTAATAATCAATTATCTAGCCGTTTGATCTCAAAAAATAAGTAATTAGACACCAGTCAAACTACCATCAATACGCGTTCATTATTGTTAACGATTCTTATATTTTTTCTTGTCTTGTGTATAGATAAAGAATCGTTAGGCAACTTATCAATACATTATCATCATCATTCAGTAGGCCTCGTGTATACTGTTTGTACTTTTTCTTCGTTTGTTTATCATTCAATATCATGAAAAACATGCTTATGTATATATTATTTTTTTGTGTAGGTAAAATATCTTCAGTGAGTCATTGCTTAAAAAAATACGTATAACAATATTGTTATTGCGCGCATTTATTCATACATTTATATTTTTTTGTGAGAAGAGATACCTTCATACCTATCTCATTTTCATAAAAATTAGTGAACAAAATTCTTACTGTTTCATTATATTTTCAGTTGATTTCATTATGCAGTTGTCACACATAGGTTCAACATCGAATCTTGTTGACACATCATTGGATGAAGCTCCACCACCTAAACGCTTGATATTTAGGTAAGATATCTATTTCGTATCGAAATAAAAAAAACATATATTATAATTAATCGAAAAATTTTGACTGTAAACTTAATCACACAATATTAACGACATAGGAAGTATAGTGTTTTTTTTAATAAAGTGAATCATACCTATGAAAATAGTAGAATAAATCTACATATTATGTTCCGATGATACATAAGGAAGCGTAATTGATAGATATTATTTACAGTCACTTTTTGTTTGCTAACAATAAAACTGATTCATATATTTAATTTAGCAAATGGTGGAATGATTTATTTAAATACAGAATGAAGATAACTGTATGCTGTCCATTAGTTACGATCCTTATTATAGCAATGCTTGTTATGTTAGCTATTATGGCTATATATGGTATAAATAGTCAGCAAGTTATCATAAATACTCAAACGGGTATATATTTTATTTTTGATTTTTCTTGAGTTAATTTGATAAAGAATCATCGGTTTACTTTTAGTTTCGACTTCTTATTCTATTATCTATGGAACTAATACAAAAATTGGATATACTTTAAATGTTTTGGATACAAAAGGTTTAGCAAATAATGTATGTCTGATTTTATGTTTTTTTTTATTAATTGTATATCGCTTTAGTTAATGAAAACAATCGGTCTTACAGGAATAACCGTCAACAATGCTCAGTTAATTCCATTATTAACAACAAATAGTACTAAAAAGCGTCAAGTAATTCCGTACGTATGCATAATTATCTAGTGCTTGTCCATTCATCAAGCATTCAGGATTTTCTTAACTTTACATTAGATAGATCTAAATGTTTTGTATATTTTACAGGACGAACATTATTCAGTGTCAAAAAAATCCAAATACAACGGGTGATTTTTTGATATTAACAATATCAATTAATTATCCACAAGATTGTGCCGCGAATGATTGTCGAAAATTATTTGATATTAAAGTTCAAAATTATATTGACACTTTATATACTAATATGAGTTTTG